TTAGTTTTAAGAAGTTGCACTTCCCTTGATTGCTAAAACAGCACTCCCAAAACCACATGTTACCTGCCAAAAATTTAAAAATTTAAAAATTATATCAGGTCTTGGCACACTGTATTAAGGAACAGTCCTGTTTCATAAACTTCCCTGCACATCATTCTGACCCCAGCCAGCCTTCCCATACCAGACATGTGATTCCCAACCATCTTTACCTGGCTTACCAAGACTGCTGCTGATCTATTGCTCCACCCCCACCCAAATGAAGCCAGGGTCCATGTCTTAGCTCTGAAAAGCATAGTCAAGACTTAACCAAATTATCCTGAGAATTTAAGGAAATGTAAAGAATTCTAAAACAACTAAGCCTCACTTAAACAGTGTATTTTATTGGACTACTTCCAGAGCTTACAGGCCTCTGCACAGATCTCTAGGAGAAGTTTCTCTCGATTTCAGCACATCTGCCACCACATTCCTGGAATCGGCTTTTCTCTTTAACACAGAAAGCCTCTGCCAACAAATTTTTACACCCTGGAATCAAGATCCCAGAGAAAACAAAGAGAATATGTTTTAAAGTTTAATCTAAAAGATACATTTTGTATGAGAAGAGAGCAACATTTTTTGGTGGGGAGAGAATATCTTTTTAATGCAAAACTGCTCAGTTTCTCCTTTTACCAGTTCATCCCGAAGCATGAGCTTGGTCTTAACGTTTGTGTAACCTGAAAATCTCCCCTGGAATGACTTCTCCAAAAACCAGAGGAAAAAATTCATCTCTGAAAGATAAAGGCATACTTCTATCCAAAGAAATGAAATAATGTTGGTAGATTTAAAATAGCTATGCCAAGGCCGGGTGTGGTGGCTCACGCTTGTCATCCCAGGACTTTGGGAGGCTGAGGCGGGCAGATCATGAGGGCAAGAGATAGAGACCATCCTGGCTAACATAGCGAAACCCCGTCTCCGCTAAAATACAAAAATTAGCTGGACGTGGTGGCACGCGCCTGTAGTCCCAGCTACTCAGGAGGCTGAGGCAGGAGAATTGCTTGAACCTGGGAGGCAGAGGTTGCAGTGAGCCGAGATCGCACTCCAGTCTGGCGCATGGTGATAGAGGGAGACTCTGTCTTAAAAAACAAAAACAGCCATGCCCTCCTCCCTTCTCATCCTACTTTCTCCATGGGTAGCCATAAAGTTTCCAAAATATTGGGGTTTAGTCTCAGAAAAACTTGTTATGCACCTATATAACTTCACGCCTACTCCTTTTTTCCCCTCTTAATTATAAAACAAGCATTGAAAACTGACCTTGATTGTGATCTCTAGTTGAGGAGTAACCCATTTTATTTTGGAAATTTAAGCGAGAAAACACAACGCTAGGACCAAGAGTCTGCAGTGCGGCCATGTTTATGCATAGCTAAGGCAGAGAAATGGCTGGCAGTTGCAACAATGACATGGTTTGTGTTTAATGGTTACAAGAAAGGAATTAAAGACATAACCTCCTAAAAGTACATAAGAAGATGTTATAGAAGCAACCGAAGGGAACCAGTGTACAGGCTTCCAGAGTGCAATGTAACATGCCTATCCTATGATTGAAATGAATGGGGTTACTTCCATAATTTCCCCTGAAGAAATGCATCAAAAACCACTGTCCGCCAGGAATCCAACAGGAAACAGATGACACAATCACATGAAATAAGTCAAAGAGTCTTTAATAAGGGGATTCTTTACAAAAGTAAGAGGCTTAAGGAAATCAAAATTCATAATACAGTGTCTATTGGGCCAATAATAGTGGAAAACTCTTACTAGACCATTCCTGAAAGGTCAAGGTAAGAGAGCAGCCATGGAACTAGGAGGCAAAGAGGGCTGTCTGGAGACTGCTGCCCAAGAGGAGCTAACGACTTTATTATAAGTTACCACCAGCCCATGTCAATCCCACAGGATTGGGAGGAACCAAACAGCCACACACTGATATAATTGTCCTCTCCGGTTCTGATTTCCTGCAATGCTTTCCATAGCTGAACCCCATAGGAGCAGACTATACCGTCAGTATCTCAAGGCACAGGGCAAGAGAAGGGTACAGAGTGTATCTGGAAAGACACACCTATGTCCTACCAAGTCAATAGCAGTTTTGGTCTTCATTTCTGCCTCCCAAACAATTGCTACAGAGATACTCTGACTTTTGATCAGACTAAGCAGGAAACCAAACTGATCTAATCAAATGAAAGCATGAGAACTTAAATTTGATAGTTGTTCCACTTATGATTTCTAAATCAATACCTGAAATACAGTAGTTTGGGTTTTTTTTTTTTTTTCAAACCATTTTGCAGAATATCAGATTGGACAAGCAGATAATGTCTATACATATGAAATTAGATTCTATTTTGCAGGCATTAAGTTCTGAAGAATCCTGTGCTGGGGAATGCCAAGCTCTGATTTGCACATTTTAAAGAATACTCTGCAGTAGTTTGAAGGATAATTTGCAAAGCAGTGTATCTAGAGACAGTGAGGCTATATGAGATATTGAGGACACTAGGGATGAAGAGAAGAGAATGACTATGAGAAGGCTTTGGAGGTAGAATTATACAATTTGGCGATTGATTGAATATGGGCATTAAATTTGCAGCCAGAATGACTCTTAGACTATTAATTATAAAAAAAAAATAGTTGGGGGAGAGAGAGAGATAATAGTTCAACTTGAAAGATAAAGACCTTCATGTGCCTGTAGAATCCAACCAGCTGGACATGGAAGTAATCATGTAGGGATTAGTTAAAGCCATGGTTATGAATGGAGTCAGGCAAAGATGGAGAGCAGAAAAAAAGCGATGGTCAACAGAGGCTTTTACATTTTTGAGAAATCAGACAGTTCCTACTTTAATGGCATTACTAATCTTTCTCATCAGAGTGTAAGCTCCCTAAAAACAGAAACTCAGCTAGTCTTATTATAACAGTATTCCCAGCATCTAGCATAGTGCCTGGAACCTGATAAGTGCTCAACATTGTATCATTTTATGACTGAGTTTAGTCTGGCTAGTGAACATAGGGGAGGGGGAGCTGATCTAGGAAGTGAAGCAATTTAGAGATCAATGCACTCCAAAGGATTCTCCCATCTAGACCTCTTTTAGGGCTCATGATTGAATTTCAAGTTCCTTTTCCTAGTTGGCTCTTGAAGAGAAGTTACAATACATCTTTGCTTCTATTTCTGTTGTTAAATTTCTCTTAATTCCTACATTTAAAACTTAGTTTCAGGTTTTTAAGAAATTAGTATTTTTAATACTAATGCTGCTTTATTCAGTTTTTCCTGTAGGGAAAACCTTTCTTACTGTTTTCTTTAAAACCAGAGGCCCATTAAAAAGTTGAAAAGACTGACAGAACACATGCTCACAAATATGGACAGATAATGAACTCAAACTCCGAAAGTACTTTAAGGACTCTGTATCTTACAGCATTTTTTCCAAACCAGGGGCAAACTTAGTGCACTCCCAACATAGTACAGCTACTGTAGGAGTATCCTAAGACTTTCCAAGGGGTACATAAAAGTGCAGCCATTTCGAGAACTTTAATTTCCCTCTGGATTTTTTTCCAAAACTCATCTGCCTAGGTCGGTGGAGGCTGCTGCTTCTGCTTTTGCATCCACTTTATGTCAGTTTTCATACACTTTATAATGCATGAGAATCACCTGGAGTGCCTGGAAAAACCCATCCTGCTGTCCCCACTCCCGTAATCTCTCATTCAGTAGGGTAAGGTCTAAGGATTTACATTTTTTACAGGTTCCTGGGTGAAACTTACACTGTTATTCCAGGGAACAAACTTTGAGAATCAATACTTCAGACAATTGCCCCTCTTCTACTTAATTAAGAACAAAATAAAATAAAACCACTACGTGAAACATACCTCTTATTCATTCTGAGTCTTAGGATACATTGTCATGGAATGCAAAAATTAGAGCAAAAAAAAGATAATTCACAGTGAATAATTCTGATGCCATTGTGACAAATTTCCTTTTTCAAATCAAGTGTTTATTAAAAAAAAATATTGGCCGGGCGCCATTATTGTCTCACGCCTGTAATGCCAGCACTTTGGCAGGCCGAGGTGGGCAGATCACTAGGTCAAGAGATCAAGACCATCCTGTCCAAAAGGTGAAACCCTGTCTCTACAAAAAGTACAAAAAATTAGCCGGGCGTGGTGGTGCGTGCCCGTGGTCCCAGCCACTCGGGAGGCTGAGGCAGGAGAATTGGTTGAAACTGGAAAACGGAAGTTGCAGTGGGCCAGGATTGTGCCACTGCACTCCAGCCTGGAGACAGAGTGAGACTCTGTCTCAAAAAAAAAAAAAAAAAAAAATTAAGGAGTGTGATAAATTATTTTTCAAACCAATCGTTTATTTTAAAAAAAATTAAAGAGGACTTGAAATGTCAGCTGAGAGGTAATTTGAAAATGACTTTTGATAAATCACTGATTTTTGGCATATAACTCAGAAAATGCTTTAAAAATTGAGTAGCAATGCACAATAAAATATCGTTTTCATCTACTTATTATGTAAACATATTTTCTCAGTATTTAAATCTATCAAAGTAAGAGTGAAATGTGTTAAGCCATACCACATCCTAGTTTTAAGGAATATTTAACCTGTTGGATTGTGAATTGGGAAAACAGCCCTAATCATCTCATTAAGATACATTTTCAATAAAGTTTTACAATTTGTATAATCTTTCAAATTTTACAATAGCTTTATATTGTTTTGATCAATTGTGTGTTAGAAATTACAAAGACAACTCGGTCCAGGAAAATTTTAACCTTTATAGGATTATGTTCACAAGAAAAAAGCTTTAAACTTTAAGGTACAAATTTTGATGTACATGAGTTTGATGGCTTAATCAATAGAGGACTTCTAAGCATATAACTATATAATTTTTGATAACATTCCATAAGAGGAACTTAAATTTTAAAATGAGTCAAAACAAAAGAAAAATATAAACTTTCTCACTGCTAATAAAGACTATTTTTAAAAAAATAACATAGGGGTCAAACCACTACGATATTTAGATTTTACTGAATATACCTGAAAGTGATGTTGCATGCTTATTGTAGAATGGCAATATTTAAAATAGGTCAAAAAGGGCCGGGCGCGGTGGCTCAAGCCTGTAATCCCAGCACTTTGGGAGGCCGAGGCGGGTGGATCACGAGGTCAAGAGATCGAGACCATCCTCGTCAACATGGTGAAACCCCGTCTCTACTAAAAATACAAAAAAATTAGCTGGGCATGGTGGTGCGTGCCTGTAATCCCAGCTACTCAGGAGGCTGAGGCAGGAGAATTGCCTGAACCCAGGAGGCGGAGGTTGCGGTGAGCCGAGATCGTGCCATTGCACTCCAGCCTGGGTAACATGAGTGAAACTCTGTCTCAAAAAAAAAAAAAAAAAAGGTCAAAAATTACATCCTCTATAATTGTTTAACTTTATAATGAAAAAAAATCTTGTTGACAGCTTAAAATGTGAGAGGTACATAGTTTAAATTTTCAGAGTAAATACTATCAAAAATAATTTAAGATGTGCTACCTAAGGCAGTAAACTTTTAATCTTCAACAGGGATCATTTGATGGACTCGGACAGAACTCTGAATTAAATTCCAATTAAAACCCAGGCTTTGCTTATTCTGTAAACACCTCAACAAAACCATTCTTGTTCTATTTTGGCATTTGCTCTTTCTTGTCCAGCTGGGATCTAAACATACAGAAATGAGTAATAATGGGAAAAGATTATACAATCTTGAATGACTCACTCAAGGACCTTTGTAAATATCCTGTTTAGACTTGTTTCAGAAAAGAATCATTTCGGTAAATTCTGATTTGTTTAGCAAATCCAAGCTTCAACACAGTAAAAAGAAAGATGCACCAATATCAGTGCTAACCTGTCACTGCCAACCTTTTCTTTTTCAGAAACAGTTTCACTGCATAAGGAAACATAAACACTTTACAAATGTTATGTTAATCACTGAGTCTTTAGCCACTTGATAATAACATCTTTTGCCCTTATCTAGAATATATTTTCTCTCATAGATCCTTTTCATGGGAAATAGTCATGCACAAAATAAACCCTGAACTTTTTACACCTACTTCATTTTCTGTTTATTTACAGACTCCATGGGTTTATTGTACATGATACATAATTTCTGGGAGAATAGCTCATGACCAATTCAGTTCCCACTCTTGGTACTATACTGAAAATTAAGATCAGCAAAGGTCTACTTACTATCACATTAAAATGTTGCATCCCTCCCTATACAATCTCTCTTACCTCTTTAGTAATACAGCTGCCTTGGAAGACCATCTCTTCTTAAATTTCCCCCAATGGCAGGGACACATTCTTCCCTCTGATATTCCACTTAACCTTTAAAAATGGACAAAGAACCACTTCTTGCTGACTTTGACTAGTGTCTTTTTTAATGTCTCATTCTCTCCCAGTACTCTGGACATTCCATAGATTCTGTGATTTCATCTACTTATTTGCGTAAACAGATTTTCTTGGTATTTAAATCTATCAAACAGATTAAGAGTGAAATGTGCTGTTATTTTTACCTAGATCCATCAATAACCTAATAAAGGTATATATGCATAATTAGTAGAAATTATTATATATTCCCTTGGATCATTTCTATTTAAATTCTATGTAAAAGAGATGACAGACTGCACACTAATCTATCAGAGTGAAATGTGCTGTTATTTGTACTTATAGCAACCAGTAATCTAGGTAACCAATAACCAATACTAAGGATATATATGCACAATTAATATAAATTCTTATATATTCCCTTGGATTGTTACTATTTAAATTCCATGTAAAAGATATGGCAGACTGCACACTAAAAGGACAAGCTCAGAAAGGAAAATAACCTCTTCTCTTTCATACTTATTCATGCCAAACTCCCTGTATATTTTTGACATTTTTAGAAAGTACCTTAAAATAATTTTCAGCTCAACTTTGACCTTTATATCTTTGATATAACTTCGGAGCATATAACGGTTTTGTTCTTCCAGATTATCAGTAAAGATATTGAATAGAGTGGGTTCTAATCTAAGACAGTTTTCATGGGATGCAGCCAGTATAAAAACTTCATGTGGGCAGAAACCTGTCTACCTCATTCACTGCTGAATCTTCACAGACTATTACAGTGCTTGGCACATACTAAATACTTTAAATAATAAGTGAATGAAAACGGAATGAATAGATGGCTATCTGAATGGATAACATTATATTTTTGACACCTTCTGATAATTATTTAAATATGATTTCCTCACCAATAAATTAACCTCTAAATGTATAACAATCAGGGATATAGTTTTTTATAATTTTCTTGGAAACACTGTGTAGGCTGCAGGGATTACCTGCTTCTGCTACACACTAACTGCCTGATTTTGGACAAATAACATAAGCCCTCTATGCCCGATCCCTCATCAGTCAGTAATGATGAACCCTGTTTCATAAGCTTGTTGTGATATATGGCATGTAAAATGGTTCATAGGAAGATTTCTGTAATGTGAGCTATCACTTCTCTCACTGCATATTTTTCATATTTGAAATTAATACATAGTATTCAGATGAAAACATTATTAGAATTATCTCAATTTTTGTGGGTGTATATATATATATAATGAAATCATGAAAGAAATGATTTTATATATATATATAAAATTTTATATATATATATAAAATCAAAGAAATGATTT